GGAAAGGAAAGAAAGAGGAAAGGGGAAAGGAAAGAAAGAGGAAAGGGGAAAGGAAAGAAAGAGGAAAGGGGAAAGGAAAGAAAGAGGAAAGGAGAAAGGAAAGAAAGAGGAAAGGAGAAAGGAAAGAGGAAAGGAGAAAGGAAAGAGGAAAGGAGAAAGGAAAGAGGAAAGGAGAAAGGAAAGAGGAGAGAGGAGAAAAGTAACCCCAAATCATTCAGGTCAATAGTTCTCCAAAGCAAGAGAGCAGTGAAGATCAGGTAAAATATCATATGGGCTCATAGAAATGTTGTTAGACATGTGTGTTTCATTCCAAATGTAAGTAGATATATTTTAAATAATTTTATTAAGAAACAAGGATTGATGATATATCCTTAGGTTCCAAACATACTGAAGAAGCCTGCTTCACCTGTGTGATAAAAGATGGCTGCGGAGGCTGTTTAAACAATTCACAAGAGGCAGAGGGCTGCTTAGGCTAAGTACAAAAAGGCCTAAATTGGCAGCTCCAGATGCACTCTTATATCTGCATCCGGGAAATTAAAGAAAAAAAAAAAGAAGAGGCTGATTTAGGTATCACTTAGTAGGAGCATATCTAGCATGAGTGCTAAGAAAGAAACACTCTTCACCTTCTGCCCAAGTCGCATCTCATGGGACAAGGTCTGACTCATTCAGCTGCACAGCAGCTGCATACACCTGTAAGCTTCCTTGTGCCATCAAAACACAAAAATGATGTATGGCAATGGAAAAATGCCTCCTATTTTGTATTTAAATAAAAATACTTATGTATGTGGAAAGGCATAGGCTTTCTACCACTAATTTAACAGTAATTCTGGTATCACATATCAAAGTATTGTCAAGACATAAAGTCTGAGTAGGCCCTGGAAAACTCTATCTTGTAACAGTCCTAACAAAGTTTGAAGGATACTGCTCCAATGAAGAAATATTGTTAAATGTTAAATAGGTCTTATCATTACATTATTAACATTTTCTTCTAATTCAGTGTGAGGTGCACAGACTGTAATGGATTATTAGATGCAACTTCTTGATTTTTCCAAAAGACTACACTTACCATATGAGTAGGCAAGGAGCAGGTAACGTGGGAAGTATGTATCTAATCAAGTATTTAGAAAGAGCCAAGCAGAAGTAAAAGAAGATTAAAATGAAAGTCTTATTTTAGTGCTAATACATTTGTGATACCCAAAGTTCCATTAATATAGCCATTTATTTGGGAAGTGCAACTTATATGCCTACATAACAAAAACCTGAAGTAATCTCCCAATGACTGTAACATAAGGATGCTGAGTAATTCACAAGAAATTAAATGGGAGAAGTGGTATCCCTGCCTGTTCTGACAGTAGACTCCATCTACATTAGCAACAGACATATCTACATGTCTACATTTTAAATCTAGACTCCATCTACATTAGCAACAGACATATCTCTTAAATGTTTTTAGAGCAATACTTACAGCAGCTACCACTAAGGTAAGAAGAATCTCTCATTCACAGTGCTTCACTAAACTTCTATTGCATTAACAAGGACTGAAGAGAGCAGTCAATCGGGATTCACATCCTTGCAATGACAAAATGCTAAAACCACATCTAAGCCAGTCATTTCTCAGAGGTCTTCTGTGGCACTGATTCTCCTCCCTTCATCTAATAACTGAGTAATCCTACAGCTTCTTTTCACCTGCGATGCAATCAAATCCACTGTGGGTCAGATAAATCTCAGCTGATATCTATACCCACCCAAAAGAAAATAGTATGGATTTGTGCCTTCCTTGCCCTGTGGAAAATGTTTCTCCTTGAATGAATTTTTCAAGCATAGTCAGACAAGAGATTGAATCTGGGGTTTAGAGCTTAGACAGGTGAAAAAAAGTATTCCTGAACCAGATAAAAGGTTTATTGTACAAGTGAAATAGACTTAAGAAATCTGAGAAGCAGACCCAAAGAGACTCTCATGGTTAAATCATTCTCTTGGAAAAGATGTATTCAAATGTTTCCAAGGTGAGAAGAAGGGTGAAAAATAACTGGACTGATATCATCTGCATCCATAGTGAGTGCTCTAATCACCTTTTGTGGCTAACGTGTATGCAGAATATACTCTGCTCAGCATGCAGTAAATAATTGCTGGGTCACACTGTGCAGAAAAGCTAAAAGACATCCCTAGATTACGATTGCTGGTGAGTACCAGTATAACAGAGTGATCTACTCCCCACTATGAAGAATTGGTTGGTTTGGGGAACTTTACTGCAGAAATACTTTCAGCACCTGGGGAAACATTATGATAGCATTAACTTATAGGGTGGTTATGAGCTCAGGATCTAAATTTGAGACTAGTGTGGCAGAGAAGTTAGAAAAGCCCAAATTATGAGTGTTGGTACCAGTCTTCTTCAACACCTTTGTAGGTGACATGGACAGTGGGATTGAGTGCGCCCTCAGCAAGTTTGCCGATGACACCAAGCTGTGTGGTTCGGTTGATATGCTGGAGGGAAGGAATGCCATCCAGAGGGACCTTGACACGCTTGTGAGGTGGGCTGATGCCAACCTCGTGAAGTTTAACCATGCCAAGTGCAAGATCTTACACCTGGGTCAGAGCAATCCGAGGCACAGCTACAGGGTGGGCAGAGAAGAGATTCAGAGCAGCCCTGCAGAGAAGGACTTGGGGGTGTTGGTTGAAGAGAAACTTGACAGGAGCCGGTTTCAATGTGCACTCACAGCCCAGAAAGCCAACCGTGTCCTGGGCTGAGTCAAAAGGAGCATGACCAGCAGGTAGAAGGAGGTGATCCTGCCCGTGTACTCTACTCTTGTGAGACCTCACCTGGAGTATTGTGTACAGTTCTGGTGTCCTCAACATTAAAAGGACATGGAACTGTTGGAACAAGTCCAGAGAAGGCCCACGAGGATGATCAGGGGACTGGAGCACCTCCTGTATGAAGACAGGCTGAGGAAGTTGGGGCTGTTCAGCCTGGAGAAGAGAAGGCTGAGTGGAGACCTCATAGCAGCCTTGCAGTATCTGAAGGGAGCCTATAGGGATGCTGGAGAGGGACTCTTCATTAGGGACTGTAGTGACAGGACAAGGGGTAACGGGTTAAAACTTAAACAGGGGAAATTTAGATAGGATATAAGGAGGAAGTTCTTTCCTGTTAGGGTGGTGAGGCACTGGAATGGGTTGCCCAGGGAGGTTGTGAATGCTCCATCCCTGGCGGTGTTCAAGGCCAGGTTGGACAGAACCTTGTGTGGCATGGTTTAGTGTGAGGTGTCCCTGACCATGGCAGGGTGTTTGGAACTAGGTGATCTTAAGGTCCATTTTTCTCCCTCTTAGTAGCTGGTGCAGTGCTGTAGTTTTGACTTTCAGCCTGGGGACAGCAGTGATAACACCAATGTTTTTAGTTACTGCTCAAATGTTTAGTCTGACCAAGGACATTCCGACCCTCATGCTCTGCCAGGGAGGAGGGGAAGCTGGGAGGAACCAGAGATAGGACACCTGACCCAAACTAGCCAAAGAGGTATTCCATACCACAGCATGTCATGCCCAGAGTGTAAACTGGGAGTTACCTGGAAGGGCTAGTTCACTGCTGGGCCAGGCTGGGTATAGGCAGGTGGTATTGTATTCTCTTCCTTTATTATTTCCCTTATCATTATTATTATTGGTAGCAGCAGTAGTGGTTTGTGTTATACCTTAGTTATTGGGCTGTTCTTATCTCAACCTGTGGGAGTTGCATTCTTTTGATTCTCCGCCCAATCCCTCCGGGAGCCAGGCAGGGAGGAAGAGGTGGGGGAGTGAGCCAGTGGGCTGTGTGGATCTGAGTTACTGATGGCTCCCAATGTGGGGCTTGAAGGGTTGAGATAACGACAGATTTGACCAGAGGGTGTCTAATCATCTTTGTGATAAGCATTTATTGTTTCGGATTAATAGTCACTCGTCACAATGCTCTCAAAGTTGTTGCTTCTGATCTCAGAGTTTCAGCATGTCACACGTTACTTACAGCCAGTATTTGCTGTGTTAGTGTTTATCAGGTGGTGGGCTTGGGCTAAGGTTCTTGTCTCATTGTACTTTATGTTAATGACTTGTAATACAAAAGAATCGTTGATCATGAAACTGATCTGGCTTATGTTCCCAGTGTGGTCACCACCTCTATACTTTGGGAGGTATATAATAGAAGTGCTTAGCAATTACACACCTTTTTTCCCCTTCTTGGGTGGTCAACCTGTGAAGGAGACATTCTCTTAAACTCCCAGCAGCCCCCCCCCCCCCCCCCCCCCCCCCCCCCGGAGTGTCTCTGTAAACTTGTTTGAGAGTTTTGAAGGTTTTGAATGGACTATAAGTACCTTTGAGACCTGTTTGCTGATTGTGATGGGGATCACCACACTGGCACGCATACAGAGTGTGTTTTGCCCATGACCATTTTGTCTGATCTCAAGAGTTAATCAGAGTCGGGTTTGCTCCTTGTCTGGGGTTAGACAACGATATAGGACGACCAAGAGATTTTCCCCTAGGCTGGACAGCCATGAGTTGCAGGGTGTGTGGGAGAGTATGAGTAAGTATCTAGGCCAGTGGCCCCTCCAGTACTTTGGAATGTCACCACTGAACAAGTGCAAAATCCAGAAAAATTAGTAAAACACTTAAATGAGGTATGTTGCCATTCTGGCCATACCAGAGATGGACAAATCATGGCAACGTGCTGGGGCTTGGCCTATGCTTACAGGGCCTTGTTCAACACTATCCAGCACCTTCAAAAGGAAAAAAAAAATGTCCCTGGATCTGAGGGCAAAGCAACAGACGGTGCAGCTACTCCAGCTCCAAGCACAGCAGCTACACCAGCCCCAGCGACAAGTACAGCAGCTACCCAAACCACAGTGATAATCTTTGCAGCAAGAGTTGGGCCACTGACGAACACCAGAACAACCAACAAGTGGATAAAGCTGCTAAGATTGAAGTGGCTCAGATGGACTTAGATTGGCAACATAAGGGTGAATTATTTTTTCAGGCTATCAGGGTAGAGATGCAACATACAGATGGGCTCATGATCAACAGGTGGACTTAACAATGGACACTATTGCCCAGGTTATTCATGAGTGTGAAACATGTGCTGCAATTAAACAAGCCAAGCGGTTAAAGCCTCTTTGGGATGGAGGACGATGGTTGAAGTATAAATATGGGGAGGCCTGGCAGATTGACTATATCACACTCCCACAAACCCACCAAGGCAAGCGCCATGTGCTTACCATGGTGGAAGCAACCACCGGGTGGCTGGAAACATACGCTGTGCCCCATGCCACTGCCCAGAACACTATCCTGGGCCTTGAGAAACAGATTTTGTGGCGACACGGCACCCCAGAGAGAATTGAGTCAGACAATGGGACTCATTTCCGGAATAACCTTATAGACACTTGGGCCAAAGAGCATGGCATTGAGTGGGTATATCACATCCCCTACCACGCACCAGCCTCTGGGAAAATCGAACGGTACAATGGGCTGTTAAAAACTACATTGAGAGCAATGGGTGTGGGAACTTTCAAGCATCGGGATACACACTTACCAAAGGCCACCTGGTTGGTCAACACCAGAGGATCTGCCAACAGGGCTGGCCCAGCCCAGTCAGAACTTTTACATACTGTAAAGGGGGACAAAGTTCCTGTGGTGCACATAAAGAATTTGCTGGGGAAGACAGTCTGGGTTATTCCTGCTTCAGGTAAAGGCAAACCCACTCGTGGGATTGCTTTTGCTCCGGGACCCAGATATACTTGGTGGGTAATGCGGGAAGATGGGGAAGTTTGATGTATACCTCAAGGGGATTTGATTTTAGGGCAAAACTGCCAATGAACCCAAATGTATGCTGTTGCCTGCTATGTAATACATTTATAGCCCACCAACTAGATGTCTTCAGGTCACCAGCGACTGGCCCTGACTTCCCTCCGACCATCAACCCAACAAAGAATGAACTTTGATAGAACCAGATAAGTTCTGCGGTAAAGGAACGATCAGCATCAGCAGGCAACGCTCCATCACTGCACACAGCTTCTCCTGCCCTGAAAGACTGTTACAAGAGATGGAGCCCGATATCATGAACCAAATGGACTCAGCAGCTTTATAGGGATTGGTCCATGCACTAAGGAATGATCTCTCTCTCTCTCTCTGTGTGTGTGTGTGTGTATGTATATATATGTGTGTGTGTATATGTAAGAGTGATGGTATATTGAAAATGTGGGATCTGAGCATGACGTGAATGGTATGGAGTAAAGGGTGGATACACAACATGGGGTATCCATTTAAACCACAATACTGGTTTTCAGTGTACAGCTCAAGGCTTACTGGTTTTGCACACAGCTTTGACTATACGTAGTGCATTAACTGAAGGGCTGCATTATTAACATAATGGTAGGGATACATAGTGATCAACTTTATAAGTCAAGAAGACTTATAAACTCAGTATGTGTAGTGCCTGTAGAATCTTCTTGATTTTACAGAAATAAAAACAAAAGCCAACAACAAACATTTATCAGAAAATAATACAGAACTTATTTATCAAAGTCATTAATTTAATATAACTAACTCACTCAACCTCCAAATCAGTTAAGTGGGAAAGACACCAAACTTTTGGAACAATTCTCAAATTAACAGTATCCAGATCACACAAGGATCAATTTTATGTCTAAAAAAATCACTTTTTCAGTTAAACTGAATTCCTATGCAACAATGAAAGGCACCAGATCTACAAACAACTTCTAAATAGGTTACGTACAGAAGCTCTTGTATGCAGCTACTCCTATTATTAAATTCTGATCATGGCCCCTAAACCGGCCCTGACCTGTGCCAACCAGAACAGTCCTACACAGTGCCCAAGCAGCATTCATGCAACAGTCTGCGAAAGGGACTATCCTCAATAGGTTGGATGCATGAATCCTCTGAGTGAAGGGAGGAAACAATGTATAGCTTTCCACCCCAGACTGGTTCTTGGCCCATTTTACTTGTTTACAGCTGCTACTAGAAAACATCGTGGTCGGAAAATCAGTATCTTTATCAGGAAACAGTGCAGAGAAGCACTTCAAAACCTAAATGTGCACAGGAAGACCACCAGTTCTCCACAGAAAGTCTCCACACACTCTCATTTAACACAAATGAGGAAAGTTCAACTGGTTTTGAATTAAGTCAGTAGTACTATGCTGATTTCCATATGTTAGCAATATGGCCCTCTGCTTCACAGCACATCTTCATTTAAGGTCTGAGCTTAAGCAGTTCTGAGAGATTTAATTTGTCTGGAAAAATCTCTTATGAACTGTGGTTGGTTTGTTGGTCTGTGTCCCTAGATATAAAAGGATTAGAGCTTTAAAGGCAGAAAGAAGTGGAGCTAAGTCAAAACTACAAAGCACTTTATCCATTTGTTCCTACAGAGGATCACTAAATGCAGTAAATCAGGTGCTGTTAAAATCTTGGGGGAACTGGTTCAGAGAATTTCACTGACAGAAGCATGATGCCTGCTTCTTCCATAGGGTAATATAATAAGAAACAAAGGCAATGATGCTGGCCAGAGCTTTGAATGGAAGAATATGATTTTAATTTGGTAATAAAGGCAAAATACTTGAAAGTAATTACTTTCCTCTATATTTTTAGATATCTGTGATTTAAAATAGTTTTAACCTCTTTTTTGTAAAATGACAAACCCTTTCACAGGGTTTCATATTCAATGTCCATTCACTAGCTTCCAGGAAATTGTCTCTAATTTTTTCTTTTTCAAAATGAGAATTTCCTTATCTGTAAACTTCCAGTTGAAGTCTGTCACTTTCTGTCCAAACCTACATTATTCCAAATGCAGATGGATGCCTCTGTGAAAGAACATTTTGGAAGGAAAAGTAACTTCCAAAACTGTCCCTCAGGAAAAGGGAATCTGGGATAATAAGGGAGGAGTGTTTTCTCATGCATTGATAATACACAAATTTCCTGTGCATCCATCTCTGTAGACGTAAGTGGAATAGGAGAATGCATGAAAGTTGAAAGAACATGAGTGAAGCTTAGGTGTTTCACAATGAAAAGTATCTCAAGTGAGAAATACACCCGGGATTCACGTGGGATCTGTGGAAAATGACAAGGTAGGATTGCAATAGCTGGGCTATCATTACTTGGCAAGTCTTTCTGTTGGAGCATCACACTTTGGGTAATTCGCTTTTGGCCAGGATGACTAGAGACTGACCTTAAAGGTTTCTGATTACTGTGCTCAGGGAAAAGGAAGATTCAAAAGCCCACCAAACTGAGTAATTAGAATTTGCAATTAACAACTGCAAGAGCCCCAGACTGTCAGAGGATTCAGATTCAAATTCATGACTTAAGTCAGAAGAACTGAGGGCCAGACTCTTCCAAATGCAAACTGTCCTGGGTTCAGCAGTAGCACTCATTTTTCCCCTTCTTGGTAGCTGGTGCAGTGCAGTGTTTTGACTTTCAGCTTGGGAACAGAGCTGATAGTGATGTTTAGGTTTGGCCAAGGACTTTGTGAGCCTCATGCTCTGCCAGGGAGGAGGGGAGGCCAGGAGGAAGCAGAGACAGGACACCTGACCCAAACTGACCAAAGAGGTATTCCATACCACAGCACGTCATGCCCAGGAGGTAACTGGGAGTTACCCGGAAGGGCTGGGAGACGGCAGGGTTGGAGGAGGTATCAGTCAGAGCTTGGTCGGGCTGGGGGGGGGCGAGTTATCGGTCGGCTGGTGGTGAGATGATGTATTCTCTTCCCTTGTTATTTCCTGTATCATTATTATCATTGGTGGTAGCAGTAGTGATTTGTGTTATACCTTAGTTACTAAACTGTTCTTATCTCAACCTGTGGGACTTGCATTCTTTTCGATTTTCCTCTCCGTCCCTCCGAGAGCAGGGGGAGGGCAAGAAAGGGGGGGAAGTGAGCGAACGAGTTACCTGACTGGGTTTAAACCACGACAGTTCTTTTTGGCGCCCAACGTGGGGCACGAAGGGTTGAGATAACGACAGATCTGACCAGATTAATAGTCACTCATCACAATGCTGATTTATTGGCTCTCAGAGTTGTTTTGCTTGATCTCACAGCTTCAGGATGTTGTAACTTACGTAGAGCCGGTATTTGCTGTGATAGTGTTTATCAAGTATGGGGCTTGGGCTAAGGTTCTTGTCTCACTGTGCTTTATGGCAATGGCTTGTAATACGGGTGGGCTCCAGCAGCAGGGTGGGACGGACGTGGCCGTGGACTTGTACCTGGCCGTCCGGCTGCTCTTCACCGTCCTGGCCCTCACCCTACTCTCCATCTTCGTGAGGCTGCGGGGAGCCGAGGGGGAGCGGCCCCGGGAGCCGGCGGCAGCCGAACCGGCCCGGGAGAGCGGCCCCGGGGACCAAGCGGCAGCGGGAGCGGGGCCGGAGGCCGCGAGGGGACGGCTGCAGGTGGAGGAGGTCGGGGCGGTCGAGGAGAGGAAGGAAGGAGCTGCCGAGCAGCGGGAGAAGGCGGCGGAGGAGCCGAGCCCCGCGGAGGAGCCGAGCCCCGCGGCCGAGCCGAGCCCCGCGACGGCCGAGAGCATTCCCCGGAAGCCGCCCGCCGAGCCCCAGGAGGATGCAGGAGACCACGCAGCATTTCCCAGCAAGGCGGAGGAGGAAGAGCTGGACTCAGGAAAAGAGAAGCTGGCGGTGGGAGAGCCGGCAAGCACAGCAGCTACACCAGCCCCAGTGACAAGTACAGCAGCTGCACCAGCCCCAGTGACAAGTACAGCAGCATCAACTGAGAGTTCTGAAGGTTTTGAATGGCCTTTGGGTGTCCTTGGGACCTGCCTGCTGATTGTGATGGGGATCAGCATGTTGGCACACACACAGGCTGTGTTCTACCCACAACCATTTTGTCTGATCTCAAAAGTTAAGCAGAGTCAGGTTTGGGCCTTGTCTGGGGTTAGACAACGATATAGAGTGACCAAGAGATTTTCCCCAAAGCTGGACAGTCATGAGTGGCAGGGTGTGTGGGACAGTATGGGCAAGTATCTAGTCCACTGGGCCCCTCCAGTGCTTTGGAAGCATTGGAGATGGAAGGCAGCTGTATGGAGTCCCCAGCAACAAGTTGCAGAAACTGCTGAAGGGGACAGTGAATTATTTTAAGCCTGGTGGGCCCATGGCACTTCAGGCCATCAGAGCAGAGATGCAACACAGAGATGGACTCATGATCGAGGGGTGGACTTAGCAATGGACACTATTGCCCAGGTTATTCACGAGTGTGAACACTACACACAGTCTCTCCTGCTCTGGAAGACTGTTACAAGAGATGGAGCCTGACATCATGGACCAGATGGATTTAGCAGCTTTATAGCTACTGGTCCATGCACTTAGATAAGAGTGATGGTATATTGAAAATGTGGGATCTGAGCATGACGTGAATGGTATGGAATAAGGGGTGGATAATGTCCTGGGTTCAGCAGTAGCACTCATTTTTCCCCTTCTTGGTAGCTGGTGCAGTGCAGTGTTTTGACTTTCAGCTTGGGAACAGAGCTGATAGTGATGTTTAGGTTTGGCCAAGGACTTTGTGAGCCTCATGCTCTGCCAGGGAGGAGGGGAGGCCAGGAGGAAGCAGAGACAGGACACCTGACCCAAACTGACCAAAGAGGTATTCCATACCACAGCACGTCATGCCCAGGAGGTAACTGGGAGTTACCCGGAAGGGCTGGGAGACGGCAGGGTTGGAGGAGGTATCGGTCAGAGCTTGGTCGGGCTGGGGGGGCGAGTTATCGGTCGGCTGGTGGTGAGATGATGTATTCTCTTCCCTTGTTATTTCCTGTATCATTATTATCATTGGTGGTAGCAGTAGTGATCTGTGTTATACCTTAGTTACTAAACTGTTCTTATCTCAACCTGTGGGAGTTGCATTCTTTTCGATTTTCCTCTCCGTCCCTCCGAGAGCAGGGGGAGGGCAAGAAAAGGGGGGGAAGTGAGCGAACGAGTTACCTGACTGGGTTTAAACCACGACACAAACAAATGACCTGACCATATAACATGAAGGAGAACAAGGAAGTAAGATAAAGCTTGAAAATCTCTGAACAATTGCCTTGCAAGTTGCTGTGAGATCATAATTTTATTTTATTGCTTCATTTAAAAAAAAAAAAAAGTTATTCTACTTTGAGGGTAGGAAAATTGATTCTCATTCAGACCTCCTTGGGAGAGAGATTGCTGACATTTAGCAGCATTTCCTAAACACAAATAACAAAGTTTCATCTCCTAGAAACTGCTTTATTTGCAGTAGTTTCTACAGCTCTGCTTCATAACATCCAGGGGCAGTATTTCCCCCATTTCATCAAGCATTCATCTGCACACTTTCTAGACTGGCTAGTCAGATCATGTTTGAACTTGCTTTAATGACTGCTGTAGGAAAATACACCCTAACACTATCAAAACCCAAAGAGTCCTCCTCCATCATTAGTCAGTGACTGATCTCAACTATACTAAAACACTACCACAAAATCCTGCAGTCACATATTCACCAACCCAAATACATTCAGACTGAAGAATAAGAGCCAATTCTTGTCTCAGTTATTGATCTCAGTTTGTTTCATCTAAAGTCAGTTTAACCTGTAATATTTGGGAAGAGAATTAGTCCCCAAATTATTTTTTTTACAAATAAAAAACTTAACAAATAAGCCTTCTCTCCTGGATTATGCAACTGTATTCTTTAGATTATTTCAGAATCTTAATCTAAACCTTCAGTTAGTATTTAAACCACAGCTAAAGAAGAGGCCTTTGGCATCCTCCACATCATGCCACATATTTTCAGTGAACTACTTTAGAAGCCTACATCCCAGACAGGATACAGAAACAGCTCAGGAAAGCACTGACTACCTCAAAACTAACTGAGGCAACTAAATGCTTTTGGGCCCTTCAATTAGAAAGGATATTGAAATCACAAAGAAGAGAAACAATGAGGATTTTATTAGCCCAAAAGTAAGTCATCAAGCAGAGCTCTGGGAAGACATAGCAGCAACCCTGGATATCTCAGGGTTTTATTTTGGGGATGATTTCTGTTTGTTACACTACAAGGAAGAAATAGGGCTAGAGACATTTATGTATTTAGTGTCAAGATGGATAAATCCAAAATCCCTGCAATAAATCCCTAACTGCAAAATGAACTCAAGCCTGAGCCCTGAGCGAATTTTCTTCTTGTTCTGCTCCTGGCTTGAATGAAATGACAAAAAAAAAAAAAAAAAATCAATGAAATCCAGATAAATAGGATAAGAGCAGAAGAATGAATACACAAAAAAACTTTAAAAAAGTCTTTAAAAAGTATAGAGATACTTGGCTATGCAGTGGCATTTTTCCTGAGAATTCTGTAATGTATTTGCCAAGATCCAAGCTCAAACCTGCTTTGAGCCTTGTGTAATAGAGAGCTTTCAAGTTGAATGAGTTTCCAAATAAGCTGTAGGATGACCATATGACCTAGTAGAAAGGACATAAGGAGATCAGTATGAAGGCTAAATTTGGATATGTACTGACTTTTAGTAGCTTCCATATCTAATTGGTTGTTCTCCATACTGATTCACCGGGGAAGTTACAGTCAATGGGAAATTTCTGCTTCTCTGTCATTTTCTGTCTCCTGGCCTCCAGAAGAACAGAATCTGATCAGGCTGCACTGAGGGAACAGCCTCGCTCCTCAGCACATGATGTAGCTGATACCTCCATCTGCTCTGCCGCGGGAATGGAAGACGTCAGTATAGGGAATGAATATTTGGAACCGTTTTCCCTCACTTTCTGAATTGCTCAGGAAATATTTGGAGCCAAGGCCATCTGACAGATGACTGTTTTGCTCAGGTCTAATATCAGTGATCAGTATGGTGTAGTACCCAGGACACCGTCTCTGCAGAGTATCCACTGACCAGATGATTTAAGATGCTCTTGCATGTAGGTCGTCCCATAGATACTTTCCTAGTCAAACAGAACCATGATTATAATTAATCATCGATATATTGCAAACTTTCAAAACCTTATAAATCTTATAAATGTAAAATACATGTTTATATTTGCATTAAAGTATTTTACCAAGTTACATTAAATATTTATAATACTATTTAAATGTATAGAGAAGATGAATAATCGTTGGAAGTTGTCTGCAATTCTAGACCAAGATTTTATGCTCATAGAAACATGAAAGAAATTCCCAAAGTAAAATACTCTGTTTCTTTTAGTAACTACTGAATACTAAGTCTCACACATGAAAACACCCAGTCAAAACATCCTATTCCATAGCTGACGTAAAAATATGTACTTTGTGACATTCCTTGGCAGTTTCTTAATATTCCTATGTTCCACAGAATTACTAAATGTCAATTAATTGTGGATGGATTTCTAACTACCTAATAGACTGACATTTTTATTACATTTTCATTCAATGCTTTTTGTTAATAAAGTGAGTTTTTCCCCTATTCACTGAAAAAGTTCATTACAAAATTAATTCACCCAGGCATGTTTAAGTGTCTGTATAATACAACAACTTCCCCTCCAAAATATTTCATACATCTACTTTTATTCTCAATAATATTTTTCTGAACAATAGAATATTACTGAATCTACATACTACCTCAGATCTGGTAATGTTCATTTAGAGAAACACCTGGTTTACTTCTAAAGAGTTATACAGAGAGGTAGTGTCCTGGGTTCAGCAGTAGCAGTAGCAGATACATCGGTATCACCAGCACTGCTCCCAGGCTGGAAGTCAAAACACAGCAGTGCACCAGCTACCACGAAGGAGAAAAATGACTGCTACTGCTGAACCCAGGACAGGTAGCTATATAGCAATATATCTGTACACATACAGATATAGAAGCAGACACACTGGAAACACATACTGTCTAACACTATGTTTCCCTGATTTGGGATTTACAAGATACCGAGTCAAATATAACATCTTATTCTGCTTTACTGTTCTATTTTCAGAAAATTATGTTTGTTTCTTATTTCATTCTCTGTATTTGCAAGACAGAGATAATGAGCTGTATTGTTGAAAAGATGATATGTAATAAAAGAGAAAAGTACTTTTTGCCCTGACAAATTCCTACTATAAATGAGCTCGGACAAGTGGTATGAGTCAAGACAGTATGAAGTTTAATTTATCCTGAAAACATTTGGGTTACTTTGTAAAACTACTCTTAGTTCGGTAAAAATACATACTTATGTAAATAAGGCTCAGCATTACAGTGTATTAGCCAGTAAAATCTCTTCATTGGTTGGCATAGGTCTCTTACAGGTTTCTGTTCAGCCCTTTGACCTCCATGAAAAGGCACTCTGCTGAGTCATATCAAACTCCTGTAAGCAGCTAAAACCGGTAAAAGTTTAAGTTGAGATCAGTGTACTAACTTTGTACAAGTGTGAACGTTTTGCTATTGGTGTATGCGTCTAAGTGGGTCCTTACATGTCAGAGAAACTGCAGGGCCATTCTTCCCTGCTTTTTTAAGTCATTGGCAAGTCTCCCTTTCAATTCAAAAGGAATAGAACAAGATCTTGAAAAAATAAAATCACAAAATTATATATTCTTTGCCAAAAGATGCTACCTCATAAGGCCCAATTCTGACTTCAGCCATCTCACCAGTTTCTATCAGAAAAGGCTTTGAGGACAGGAAAGATATTTTATGCTTCAGATGCAAGAGAGAAAACTGGGGCAGCAGTGACTGTGCCATAGAGCTGAGGGAATAATTCAGTGTTAATAATTTATTTGTTGAATATAGCTTCCTTTCTTCCTTTTTGAACAGTTGTGAAAAAGACACTTCCTTTCAGCTGTGAGATGCAATGGCACACTGGGTCACCCAAGGTGAGCAAGAGGCCGTAATACACCTGCACCTATGTAGCCTGTCTCTTTGCTGGAGTTCTTGAGCACAAATCTTTGTATTATGACCCACCTCTTGTTCTACAGCCACTTGTATTTGCTGATTTGTGACCCAACCAAACTCACAGGCTTACAGGCCTTGGTCTGGGAATTCACAAAGCAAGAATCAACAGCATGAGTCTTATACATACTACATACTGCACAGCTCTGAACAGCCAACTGAAATTGATATAAAGATTCATAATATAATAATACTATTTATTTATTCATTAACATTAGCAAAATTCTGTCTGCAAATATACTTGGTAATACTGTAGCAAGCATTTTACTGCACATACCTAATAACAGGAGAGAGTGAAGATAAATTTAATTTTTGTTGTTTATTATTTACCTATCGTAACAGAAATAGGTCTTTTGTTTGTTGCACTTTATCGTCTATGTGAATACAAGTCTTGCCTCAAAAGTCTGGCTCCATAATTTTCCCATTCTAAAAATATTTCTGCCCATGTTTGGTCATATTATAAGACCGTTTTGACTATGCACTAAGCTACTGTCATGGTTTAAGGCCAGTCGGTAACTCAGAACCACGCAGCCACTGGCTCACTCTTCCCCTTCTTTCCTGTCCTGGCTCCCAGAGGGAGGGGGAGGAGAATTCAA